CTACATATGGTGTGAGAACCATAGGAATCAGACTGGAGACAACATCCACTCTCTTAGACACCTGTTGTATTTGACCAAACTAGGAGAGACAACATGACTAGAATTATATAATAAGTACAAGAATGTTTGCTACCTAATTAAAACAAACTTATACCAAAATATTAACACTTAGTGGGATTAATACAGCACAGTGTAGCCTTCTTAAAATTCTCACTTCCATCACAAATCCAAAAAATAGGGGGTTTATATCTCATTTTAGGACAGTAGGTGGAACCCTTCAAATATTTCCTATACTTGGCCATCTGTGGATCCAGAATTGCTGGTTTGCAATATGGATACAGCTCAAAAATATAGAGCCATTTGTTACAAACTTCATACAGCAGTTTCAGACGTGGCCACCATCAATATGGAGCACAGCACACCATAATTGAATCCACTGAAAAATAGATAATTAGCCACAGATCCAGCAACTAGAAAATCACTGTGAAAGACCATGCTCTGAAGTTTATAAAATGTGACATAATAAATAAAAACACTGGGATCAGACAAATCTCTGTGTACACTATAGGAACACAAAATAATCTCTGTTGCATATATTGTACTATAGTAACAGACTGAATAGGACAATAACAGAGTCAGACAGTAAAGCTGGTCATAAATGTTTTTGGTTTTTTTCCACTCCGCCAACAGGCTGAAGTAAAAAAACCCGACAGATTCCTCTGTTCACACAAACGAGGTGGATGATGGAATCCCCCTGCCAGGACATTGTATTCTGACAATGGCTCCTGCTACTGTCAGAATACACTAATTAGAGGTTACAGTTTTCTAGCATGTCCCTTTCTACAGAACTTCTGTTAATACAACAATCAGCTTCTGTTGAGCAGGGACTACTATATACAGTACCAATCGGAATTCATCTGGTCCCTGCTGTACTGGCTAAATTTTCAATTTCAGTGTATGCTCGGCTTTATTGTATAAACTGTAGTAACAATTGAAACAATACAGAGATGGGATGAAACAGTTGTTTTAACAGAGAAATATGGGTGGATGCAGCATTTACCCCATGTTGAATCTGTCCCCCACCGGCTCTGTAGTAAGAACCGAGTGATCAAACACAGCTGATCTCTCAGTTCTCCCCCTCTCCCCTCTAAGCAGAGAGTCATGACTGCCAGTCAATGCTCTCTGCTCTGCCCCTCCATCGTTCTAGTGGAGGGGACAGGAGCAGCTTGCTCAGGCTCTCAGCGGATTGCTGAGAAGCTTAGCCAGGTGCTGGTCTAGGCCTCTAGGTGGATCCTGAATGGTTGGGATCTGTTTAGAGCCAGGGCTGGATCTGTGATGTCAGCCGACAGTGGGCTTTAGCCAGCTGTTGGCTGATATTGGGTTACAGGAGTGCAGATTGAACTGCACTGCTATGATCCATAAGAGAAGTGCAGGCAAAAAAGCTTTGGCTATACTTCTCCTTTAAACACAAAACTTTCTGAAGGGACATGGTGGAAATTTTTTCTTGTTAGTTATCATAACATCCAAATTTCTTTTAATTAGTATATTCCCCTATAAAAATCAAATGAATAAGTGCATTTTCAGAAACAAAGTATGGCCACAGACTAGACACAGACCATAGCTACGTAAGTGGGATGTTGCCCTCTGTTGTTCAAGAATTTTTGTATCATTTTAGGCATGTTTTCAACATGAGATGATATGAGCAATTGCTTGTCTAATTTTCTAACAGTGTGTACTAGGCTTAACATGGTCAGACAGTTGATGTGGACATTGTGCTAAAGGCACAGTAATGGGATCCAGCACTCCCTGTATGTTGACTGTTTCATCTGTACAATAATAGGGTCAGGTAAATCTTGTAAAGTGTGGCAATAGATTTATAGTTATAGTTATAGTAATGAGGTCAGGTAATCCATGTACATTGTGGTAACATATTGAATAGAACAGTAATGGGGTCAGGCAATTCCTCTACATCAGTTGTTCCCAACCTCAGTCCTCAAGTACCTTCAATAGGTCACATTTTCAGAATTTCCTTCACCTGGTACAGGTGCTTTTAAATCAATGTCAATAGCTCAGTATATATGACAGTTATTTTATCTAGGGGAAATTCCCAAAACAAGACCTGCTAGACGTAGTTGAGAACGGAGGTTAGGAAGCACTGCTCTACCCTGTGATAACAGACCAAGGGGTACAATATTTGGGTCAGGCAATTCTTGTACACTGTGGTAACACATTTAGTGGTACAGTAATGGGGTTTGATAATCTCTATATATTGTGGTAATACTGTAGTAATGGATTCAGTGTTACAGCTATGGGGGTCAGGTATCCCCTGCATATTGTAACAGATTCAGCTGCTCAGTAATGGGACCAGACAATTCCAGTACAATGGACCAAGTAACAAAACATTCAATGGTACAGCAATGGGCATCAGGTATCCCCTGTACATTGTGGGAACAGATTCAGTGGTAAAGTAATAAGAGGTCAGGAATTTCCTGCACATGGCAGTAACAGATTCAATTCTACAGTAATGGGGTTGGATTATCTTTGTAACAGATTCAGCAGTACAATAACAAAGTCCAGGCAATCCCTGTACGCTGTGGTAACAGATTCAATAGTACAGTAATAGGGACAGGGAATGCACTGTGTATACTGCACTAACAAACTTGACAAAACACAGCTGACAGTCAGGGGATCGCTGTGTTCCATATAGTGACAGATCAGATGCAAATAGCAATCCGGATGACAGACTGACGCGGGTGAGTAAAAGGGAGAGAAGCCATGATACGATAGAGTACTGACAGACATGTAGTTCTGAACCGTGCAATTCACCTCTTTTGGCACCTGCAAAATAATAACATTTATAGGCTATTTACTGAACTTATATTAACTTTCATATATGTATTATAGCTAGTACATATCTCTAAGCAATATTGTACCTGGTAGATTTCAAAACCAATAACCAGAAAGTCCCTCCCAAGAGCTCTTCCCTTCCGTCTGTCCTTCTGCATAAGAGACGCCAGGATTGTGTGGGGGTTCGACTCATCCTCTCCCTCCAAAGTCACCAGGAACTGGGGGTTAGTCCAGAACGTAGCTGAAATGGAAAAAAAAAACAAGCTTATACTCGAATACAATATAATAAAAACAGAAATTAAAGAAGAAAAGGTGTGTGGGATTTTTAAGGTGCAAGAATTACCTCAGGATAAACATACACAAAAATACTAAAATTAAAAAATGATCAAACTTTATTACAATAATGTCTAAAAAACACAGACATTTGTCTTAATATAAAAGCAATAAAGGTATCACGACCTTTAAGTGCAATCAACCCCAGACCACCTTCCTTACAGATATGCCTTTATTGCTTTTGTATTAACATAAATGTCTTTGTGTTTTTAGACTTTTTTTGCAATAAAGTTTGATCATTTTTTAATATTGGTATATTTGTGTTTATCCTGAGGGAATTCTTGCAAGTTAAAAATCCCACACACGTTTTTCTTCTTTAACCACTTCAATACCAGGCACTTTCATCCCCTTCCTGCCCAGGCCAATTTTCAGCTATCAGCACTCTCACACTTTGAATGACAATTGCGCATTGTCATGCAACGCTGTACCCAAACTAGATTTTTATCATTTTGATCACACAACTAGAGCTTTCTTTTGGTGGCATTTAATCACCACTGAGGTTTTTATTTTTTGCTAAATTAACAAAAAAAGACCCAAAACTTTGAAAACAAAACACGTTTTTCTTTGTTTCTATTAAAAATAAATAATTGTTTTTCATAAATTTAGGCCAAGATGTATTCTTTTACATTTCTTTGGTGAAAATAACCCAAATCAGTATTTATTATTTAGTCTGTAGGAAAGTTATAGAATTCACAAACTATGGGATATATCTGAAAATTGATCAATTCTGAAGTACTGATGGCCAATCTAATTTCTTGAGGCCCAAAAATGTCAGGACAGTACAGATATCATGCAAATGACCCCTTTTTGTAAAGTAGCCAGTCCGAGGTATTTAGTAAGAGGCATGCCGAGTTTTTTGAAGTTGTAATTTTTTTTGTCAATTTTTTTTTTTTAACATACCATCACCACTGCAGTACAGCATCATCATATAACTGGTGTGGCAATGATTAGGGACACTGGTGACAGTATGAAAAAAAAAAAATTTTTTTTTTTTATTTTCCATTAATTTTTTTTTTTTTTGTAAGATTTTTTTTTTCATAATACACTGTGACCAGAGTAGTATAATGTTACATAGTAACATTGTACTACTTTGGGAAGTGATCAGTATTTTTCTTTTATTTTTACACATAATTGCTTATAGCAAAGAATTTATTTGCTATAAGCAAGCATTTAACTGAATGAAATCGATTCTTTCAGGTTTTTTTGTTGTGATTAGCAATGATTGGCCATGGCTGATCACATGACACAGATGGGTTGTGATTGGCCCAGTCTGTACATGTGATCACTGTGACCAATCACAGCTAGTAACACAATTGTATACAATGGAAGGCATGAAAGGAACCCATCCATTGTTTACAGTTGTCATGTTACCTGCTGTGATTGGTCACAGCAGGTCACATGGTACAGGCAACGGGCCGGTACACAGATCTGTCATGGGCTGTGTCCAAGGTACACATAGCCAATGACAGATCTTGACAAGCGCGATCCACGAATAGGGAAGGATGTCATATGACGCCCACCTGGATCGACGAGAGTCCCGCCCGGCCAATAGCAGAATAAAAGCCAAGGGGTACAGGTTACTTTTTGTTCTATTTGGGATTTAGTGCAGACAGATCAACTATACCTACTTATACGTTCAAATGCAATATAGATTTCCAGAAATGTATTACCCTCTTGTTTTTATTCTGGGATGGTTTTTATTCTGGGATGGCTGAACAAGCAAGTTAACAGACATGGCGTATATACTATTTGTGCAAATGTATTTTGACCACTGGGGTGTACATTATGTATCATGCATAATAAAAGAAAGATAGGTCCTCACCTTTGTGATTTCGGCAGCCCCCAGCATTGTGCCCTCTCACCCATTTGCCATTAAAGCAGTTGTCTTTCCATGGCTTGGGGGTATTGCTATCGGCTGAGTCTGGTGTCAGACTACAGATTTCCAGAGTGTCAAAATAGCGCATAAAGTCATCCATTTGCATCCTGAATAAAATTGTTATTACTATGAGGGTAATGAACAAAGACTGTAAGCACTGTAAAATCCTGAATGACCTATCCCCAATCACTTACCAAAATTCACCATCCACACGATTCACATGAAGTTTATCCTTCAGCCCTTTGTCCAGCAGTGACCACATCGGGGAGCTGTCAGTAGTGATAAAAGTGCTTATTCATATCTAAGGCATTTTCACCCACATCACAGTTATTATTGTAGTATTTGCCTTAAAGTGGTCCTAGCATATGTCAAGTCTGAATCTAACTCCGGTCTGAATCTATCAGCGGCAGCTCACCCATACGTGGGGCTTTGTAGGTGACGTCACCACGTATGGGTGAGCTGCCGATGATAGATTCAGACCGGAGTTAATTTGTTGTTTTGTCTATGCGTTATATGCTAGTGTCGGCTGTGACACTTTATATTGTGAGTGCGACTTACATCTTTTAATACAATAAAGTACCTGTATGATTTCATGCTATGTAGCTTTCTCTTCCTTTCCTCTATGGTTCCATTTGAGTATAAAATATCCGAATAAGGAGTTGTAATAGTCAGCAGGTGTCTCTGCAGATTGTTGCTCCCAGAGCCAATACGGTTTAGGCTGGTTTATAATTTTACCAGCATGGAGCTCTGGTGAGTTTATTCATTTTGTCTGGTGGTGGATTTCACGTGGTGTTGGTGTTGCACAACACAGAAGGTTCAATGAGAAGATTATTTTAGGAGATATATATTTTCTTCATTTTTTATGGACATTTTGGACACTGGGTTATTCAATTGATTATTTATCCATAAATATTTATTTCATATAGTCACTTGTTCACACTTACGTATATATGCATGATTTATTGGATATGGGTCTGATTCATTTTTAGATCTTGCACAAAGTATTAAATTATTTTTCACAGTTCATATTATTGATGTTCATTATACACATTTTATATAGTAGAAAGGCTTTTTCTTTTGTACTAATATTGATGTAGATATCATTTAGCTTGCATTTAAAGAGATAAATTTGGTGAGGAGCGCAATTCTAATTGACTAATTACCTTTGTATGTGAATGCTACATCAGCAGGAAATTATGCGAGGCACATTGTGGAACCTTCATTCTTGCTCCTGAGGATAGAAGATCTTTTGCAGCCCCTGTGACATTATCACTGAGGCTGTAAAAGATCTTCTATCCTCAGTAACCATCTTCGTAAGAAGAGAGATTACAAAGCACAGGGGCAAAGTAACTGAAAAAAAAAAACCAAGCAACACTACACAGGGGAAATGGAAGATTTGAGGGTACCTTTAGGTGCTGACTGGTGTTCAGTTCTAAAATATAGACTCACTGAAAATACATTGTTAAAGTAAAATACATCTTTGTGTTGTGCAATATGCACAATTTTATTAATAAGCTGTTATTCACAAATAAGAAATTAGACATTTCTGAGATCATTCAGAATTCATTGCAGCTGCATTTGACCTGCTTCAAGCTGTTTTTGGATGCCTGTTGAATAATATGGATTGAGAAGCAGTTCTGACATGAGAAAAAGCCCATCTACACTAGCCCTAACAAACACCAATGGACTCCCCACTTCATGGAATACTAAGCTGGTCATTTTTATTTTATCCTAAGCACATACTTGTCACTCCAGCGGCCGTTCCACTCCACTTCACCCCATGGATTTCGTAGTCGGATCAGAGGGATCCTGCGGCCATTGTGTTCCACCTATAAAAAAGCCAAAGTGAATCTGTGCCAAAACAATTTTTTTTAGTTCAGGATACAGCAGGGAAGCATTAGAGCCTCTATCAATTTTTTGCTCTTCTGGAAAGATTTATATTCTCTGTTTGATCACTAGGACAAATGGGATGGGAGTTCCAAAATTTACAGCTGTCACCTGACCAGGAGGTAAGAGGCAATATTCCAATAAGCACACTTTGCAAGAGAAAAGAGAGACCTTCCTCTTATTTTGGAGATATATTCTGTCACTTCTTGTTGAGTTTCCAGCAAATGAAATGAGGAGACATCTTGCAAATGGCACAGACAGGAAAAGCAAAAAAGGGATTCCTAAAGCCAGCCATACATGGATCGAAATTTGTCCGGTTCAGCAGGGCCAAATTCAGCTTATAAAGTATAACTGTTATTCTTACAGGTACTTACTGTATATAGCACCATCAATTTGCGCAGCACTTTACATATACACTATATTGCCAAAAGTATCGGGACACCTGCCTTTACACACACATGAACTTTAATAGCATCCCAGTCTGCCCCAGGGTTCAATATTGAGTTGGCCCACCCTTTGCAGCTATAACAGCTTCAACTCTTCTGGGAAGGCTGTCCACAAGGTTTAGGAGTGTGTCTATGGGAATGTTTGACCATTCTTCCAGAAGCACATTTGTGAGGTCAAACACTGATGTTGGACGAGAAGGTCTGGCTTGCAGTCTCCACTCTAATTCATTCCTAAGGTGTTCTATCGGGTCGAGGTCAGGACTCTGTGCAGGCCAGTCAAGTTCCTCCACCCCAAACTCGTTCACCCATGTCTTTATGGACCTTGCTTTGTGCACTGGTGCGCAGTATGTTGGAACAGGAAGGGGTCATCCCCAAACTGTTCCCACAAATTTGGGAACATGAAATTGTCCAAAATGTCTTGGCATGCTGACGCCTTAAGAGTTCCCTTCACTGGAGCTAAGGGGCCAAGCCCAACCAGGTTTTTGTTGCCATCTGTGCTCCCACTCAGGAGATTCGTCCTCTCTATTTGTCCTGTTTACCATTATCACTGAAAGTGAAAGTAAAATAAAATAAAATACCAATTTTGGGTTGTCTCTAGAGCAGGAATAGAAGGTAAACCTTCCAATTGGAACACTAGTTTCGGTGACCCTGGTGATAACCAGGGATTCCATCACTTTGAAGGGATTTCTTCTCACCTCCTGTTTGTTATGGAGAGAAAGTGATGGTAAATCTCCACAATGGGACAGAAATGGCCAAAAGAAATGGACAGGGCTTTTTAACCCCCCCCCCCCCACTTACTCTACACAAAATGAACAAAAAAAGTGTGTCTTTAGTTTTACTTGAAGAACATAATGCAACACGAGGAGCAGGAACACTCCCAACTAGAGCAGAACATCTTTAAGAATGGCCAGAATAGAGCCAAAAACTACAGGAGGGAGAGTTCACCACTAATTCTCTAAGAGATTTAAGCCAACAGGTGGCTCATCCCACTGGACTTTGTCTATAGTTGAAATATCACTTTTGGGTGGACCATAGGGCAGTGGCAAACATGAAAGCATATTTTTCTAAAAATTACATACCAAAAACAAACCAGGCATGATACATGCTTACAACACAATTATTTCAGCTATGTAGTATGTTTTGTCATATAACGAGGTATATATGGTCTTACCTCTGAGACCCCCAATAACAGAGTATGCATGACCTTTCACCAATCCTTCAGGGGTTGTTAGTTCAATCTCATGTGGATTCTCAATCTATGGAGAAAAAACAGAAAAACAAAGTGCTGCTAAGAAGATAATGGTTTTCTGTATTATAAAGAATTAAAATAAGTGATGTATCATTTAGGTTTTCATAGATTCTTAACCAATTATACCCTAATATTCGGGCTTTGCTACATTATTTTGCACCTATTCCTGTGAGCAGACTGTGATTAGGTCTTTTATTTCATTTCAATTTGACAAATTCCTGTGGTCTATGAAATACATAAGTATGCTGTAGTGCAGAGACCTTGTCTTATCTATTTTTTTTACTGAATATGTACAACGTAGGTGCTTTTCTTTAGCAGCATTGACGTTGTTACTTTATGTGAATTTCAATACTGATAAAAACTCTTTTGGATTAAAAAAAATGAATGTTGTGCCAGTGAAACAGCCATTCAGGTTATTCATAAATACTGTAATACTGAAGTGGTTAAGCAACATTGAAAGATTTGTAGGGTGCTTAAACCCATAAACTGTACCAACCTGCTAATATGGTCATTTAGAGTAAACGCACCAAACATCAAAGTAAAGTATTTGCAATATAACTGTATTCCACATATATAGAAGGACTATACAGTAAATAGTGCAATAAGTACAAATATCCTAATAAGTCGCATTACATCAAGAATAATACAACCAGAGTATCTGCTGCACTGTTTATCCCAGTTATATTCAGAAGAATAGATGACTAAGGAAAGTAAGCACAACTCAATCATATATTAGCATAAGGTGCAAACACAAGAGATTAGTACCCAGACTGAGCAATAGAAAACATAGCAGAGCAAGACCCTGGTAAAAACAAAGAGAGAGGAGGAGGTTAACCCAATGTTGCAGGAGTGAGAGAACCCCTTAGTCAAAGACCTCCTACCTTGCTTACCCTCTTACTGTAGGTTCCTTAAATACAATCAAGGGAATGTAATAAAGCAGAAACGTTACTTTTCTAGTGGTATGGCCACTTTAACATAGTCTGCAGCTTACTGGTTTGCATAGTGTGTCCCTCTGCAGGCTTTACTCTCCTCTTTTGTCTCCCTGCAGCTTAAGCAGGCTCTCTATGGTCATGATCCACACTGTTGGTCTTAGCATGTCAATAGGTTGCTATAATAGACCTATCATTATATCCCTCCTTCCTTGGTCTATTAACTAGCTTCTGTAATTCTACTTCAAAATAATCCCAACTGGTACAATTCTTTCTCTGCCTGATATATTATCTCCTAGAAATCATTTTAATAGTGTGTGTGTGGGGTGATAATTATATCTATGCAGCAATGAATTTCTAGCTATAGGTTTCCTATAAATCTTGATAGAAATTTCAGTCTCAGGGTCACCAAGTGTCTCCACATGCAAGTAAATGGCGTCAAGGTGTTCCTCACATGTGAAATGCAAATTCATATCATATTCAAGTAATCCAAAAAACTTCGGATTTGTTTAAGTCGACATCCACCATAAAGTGGGGGTGATCTATGGCTAATTAAATCACATTATATGGCTTATTAAATGTGATAAAGGGGTTCCCATGTCCAGAGACATGACGCTCCTCCCACCAGTAAAGAAACATAACTCAGAGTAGAAAAAAAACCTCTTTCTATGGAGGAAACACCAAATCAGCTATTAAAGAAATTCCTTTTGGGTATAGCATACCTAGTCTGTAGTCCCAGTATATAGTCGTTGCATCTGAAGGGAATGAATGGGGAACTAGACCTCACATTTTCTTTCATTTCGATTCGGTCTGGCTCTTCTGAAAACAGAGGTTTCTCTCTGCTGTATATATGAATTAGATTTCTTTACTGTAAAAAGTATTTTCTTTACATGTGTGTATGTATTCTACATTGAGTGCACATTGTCTGTATTAATTTACTGACTTACCTTATTGCAGTAATTCTGTTTATATTGTGATTTTCTACAAGTCATCTAAATGGAGCTGTCCCCATATCTCTACTGATTTTCATGCTTGCTTTAGTTATGTTTTGCTTAGTAACTCTTGGTAACTCCCTGCTCCATGCGCTCTTTGCCTATTGTAAGCTGGTTGGCAATATCTTCAAGCATGCTGTGGTTGTCAGGTCCTGGAAGACCAGTGAAACCGGAAAAGATGCCACCACCATATCATATGATTTGATAGTCTAAGTGTGAGATGGGGAAACAGCTCTCATTGTTTGAACACTGTTTGGTGTGGAGTAAATTGAGGTTTTGACTGACATTATTTTTGCATATTTACATGTGCTAACTTTTTTTCCAGTGAAGCCAATTCACTTAACTGTTATCACTTTGGAGACATCAGTGCAACTTTTTATTGGACACAACACAAGTGTACTTGCAATTTTGTATAACCTAGCAGATGAGTGTCAGCTGTAAGCAGTGAACTAGAGACAGGCCAGGGACATGTAGCTACTGACAAGTAAAGTGGTGCCTTTGTAGCACTACCCCCTTAGGAGTTGCTGAAGATTAAGGTCCCCCTATAGTCCTGCACAGCCAGGCAACACGCATTTTCTTCAGAGTTGCATTCTGGAGACAGTAAACAGTCCTTGAGCTTGGTTTTTAAGTTTTATTAGGGGTATTGAACTTGGACGGGGTAAGGGGTGTATAGGATACTGCAAACTGAGGATGACTTCCTGGCAACTATATACAAGTCAAAGACAGAACTTGTCTTCATAGAGAGCTCTCCAGCCTCTCCTGGTGTGTGAGATGGGGGGAAACAGCTCTCATTGTTTGAACACTGTTTGTATGGAAGTAAATTAATGTTTTGACTGACATTCTGCGGTTTAGCAACAAGATGTCACTGTTTTTCTAACACAGGCTCAGACTGCATAGATATTTGTATATTCATGAAGAGGTGGGGTTTTTCACACAGGGTTGGGGTTTTTTAGTGAACAGGAAGAGGAGACTGCAGCAATGTTTTGGACGATGCTGAATGCAGAAGCCATGTTATGGACGATGCTGAATGCAGGGGCCGTGTGAGCTGAGAATCCAATGACATCCAGGTGTGAAAGCATCCCTCACTAACCAGAGATTGCTGCCAGGAAGGCTGATGAGATCAGAGGAACTAAGCAACATTTGTTCTGTTCAGAGTCACCAGCAGATGCAAAGCAGACCCGGGTCGGTAAGATCATGCACGCACCTCATTTCAGTGTTGAGAGACTGAGTCCAGGCCGATAGTTAGTGTCTCTGTTTGTGTCAGGCCGCAAGTGTTGTTACTGATTATTGGAAGGACACCACCACTTA